AAAACAAAAAAAGATGGAAAGACTTTGCCAAAGCTATACAAGAAAATCTTAGCTAAAGTTACCAATTATTATAATCTCCATGACCTTCTGGTACACACAATGGAACCATGGAGGGGTCTGGATGCATGCGTGCGTGCATGCGTGTGTGCGCGTGTGTGTGGTGTCGATACCTATGCATGTAAATTCAGAGGCTACAACATATCAGGTGTCCTCCTTCATCCTTCTTGGCCCTTTTGCCTTGAAGAAGAGTCTCTCACTGAAGCCGAAGCTCACCACTTCCACCGGAGGGCTAGACAACAAAATCTCAGGATCCACCCACCCCTCTCCTGTCAGGGCTATGGGAACAGCCCTGTTGTTCAAACTCCCATCTTCATACTTTGTGGAACAAGCACTGTTACTGAGACATCTCTCCCAGCCATCTGAGCCTTCATGCCTAAATTACTATTGTCTATTAATGACATTGATAGGGACTGTCTCTACTCAAAAGATAAATTATGTTTTAATATTGACATTGAAATAGTTAATCTTGCTGGGAACATCATCAAGATATTTAGCTGGAAGACAGAAAATAACAACATGGAGAAATATTCAAGGAAAGTATACAGCTGAAAAGGTGCGCTTCAGGGCCAAGGTCAGAAATGAGAAACAAGTAGAAATGGAGACACAGGACTTGGGGAGATGGCTCAGATGATAGTGTTTGTTTCACAAGCATGAAGAGAACCTGAATTCAATACTCAGAATCAACGTTTAAAAAAAGAAACAAAACTGGGCATAGTGGCACAGTGACACATTGAACAGTTTTAATCTCATCGTGTTAGGAAAACTGAGAGTGATGGATTACTGGGGCTTGCTGCCCAGTGCAACATCTTGTCTTGAAAGAAAGAAAGAAGAGGGATAAGAGGGCAAGGGAGGGGTGGAAAGGACAAGAGAGAAGGAGATTGGAGGGAAGATAGTGCCTGTGCCTGAGGAATGACAGCAAATACCTCACATCTCTATAAACATACACATACACACACACACACACACACACACCTGAAAATACCTGTGTATATACATAAACATGGAACACACATATAGAATATGGGAAAGGAGACAGGAGAGAGGGAAGAAGAAGAGGGCGGAGGAGGGGGAGGGAGGAAAGAGAGGAAAATAGAAAAATAGAGACACAGAGAGATCAAGAAAGCCAAGGCATGAAGAAGCCAGGCAGTACAGTGGCAGCAAGTGCAGAGACACCAACCGACTTCTCCTGATGTGTCTCTGATCTTTTCAACCCTGAGAACAGTGGGGGTTTGCAATGGTGAAAGTGCAGATTTTATACTTGGAAAAGAATCTTACACTAAAGCTAAGTTACATGCTATCCTAAACAAGTGCTGTTATATCATTTTGTAGGTAATAGAATTGAGACATAGACTGGATAAGTAAATTATTAGGGAAATAAGGGATGAAAACAGGATTTGAACCAAGGAATCTGACACCAAGGCCCTGCCAACTCTTAACCACTAATCTCGGCTAGACTGTGGCACTTACCCATCACCCCTTGCAGACGCTCTCCTGAGACCCCGTTACCTAAGAGGCACCCTGTGTGTCATCTCATTAGTAACTGTTGCCATCCAGTTGTGCACAAAACTGGAGCCCAGTGTGAGACTGGGTGCAAGGGTACCAAATGCAACACAGTGGAGATGCTGAACTTTAGAAAGGGAGGAAGGTTTCAAGGGCTGAGCAGATGGGTAGATTGTGCTATGTTTTAAGTTCGCTAGATAACGTTTTTGAGCAATATGAAAGGGAGGAAAGGACAAAGGAGGAAAATTACAGTGGTTAGAAAAGTCATAACTTTGGCTCTGACTTTGAAAATGACTTGCCTTCTCCATATCCAGATTGGTAGCTTTGCCTAGAACTGAACAGCAAGTGTTCCCAAACGGAGGTGGGGACAGCTTTGGGAAAATAGCTTATGACAAATTGTAGAGGAAATAAAATGACTGGTTTACACCAAGATTATGTCTCTAATAAAAATTATCCCAAATATTTAAATGCCTCTACCTCCCTCTTCCCATTAGGCATGTTTGGATTAATTGTTTATGGCTTTATTCACTTGTTCATTCTTTGTGAATTACAATTCTCTCCACTCCCCATCCATTTTCTTTCTTCTCCCTCAATCCTGTCTCTGGACAAAGTCATGTTCATCCACTCAATAAAGACTATTGGATTAAAATAAAGTCAAGACCTCAGGTTAGCCCAGTAGAACAAGCCAAAGCCAAGTTTCCAATGATCACTGAAAAGGAGCCCCTGAAACGGATTCTCAAACCCAAACACCAATCCCTCCAACGCAAACATGATTCTTCAGTTTCTATGACTACTAGCTCTCTCATCTTGAACCCTGAGTCTTCTCCACTTCCTTCTTAAGTTCTCCACAGAAATTGACCTCTGTGGTGATGTTTTCTCTCATTGGCTCTCACCATCTGCCACCACCACTGTCTTCTTCGGATATGTTCATCTTTATAAGCTCTTTCAAACAGACTGGTCTCACTTTCACTGTACCATACCAACTCTGGATTTCAGGATTTCAACACCTTAGGTATGATCATGCCAAAGTTTTAATAAAGAGTTACCATGGCACTTGAGTGATGGCTCAGTGGTTAAGAGCACTGGTTTCTCTTACAGAAAAGCTGGTTCAGTTCCCAGCACACACATGGCAGCTTGCAACCTCTAGTCCAGGTATTCGGATGACCTCTCCGGCCTCTGTGGACACTAGCTATACATGCAGTCCATATAGATAGATGCATGAAAAACACTCAAGCACACAAAAAAGATAAAAAAAAATAAAATATTTTAAAAACAGCCACTTGTGATACCTCACTGAGTGGCTGGCAAGATGAGCTTCCTGGGCCTGAAATTAAGCCCTGTCTCCGATGAACTTCATTTACTACTTTTCCTACCAGCATCCCACTGCCACTCAGATGTGTCTCACTTCCAACTATAAGCCTCCCAGGCCAGACCAATGACAAAGGCAGAAAGGATCCTTTTCGTACAGCAGGATCTGATGTTAACCGGATCAGTCAAGAGTAGTCGGCAGTGTTAGATTCACAACTTAAAATGCAGAGCATTAACTTTGAATATCAAGAGGCGACTACTCCCTGAATGCGAGAGTAATTACTAACATCCTACCATGAACACACACACACACACATATATACACACACATACACACATGCACACAGAGAAACAGAGAGAGACACAGAGGGAGAGAGAAAATTTATGTAGAGACACTGAAAAATCTGCTAAAATAATCTTTGCAGTTGGGCTAGCAAGTATGAGATGATAAAAGAGATTTCAGAATCTCATATTTATAAAATCAAGGAAAATTAATGGAAGGGACTGATGCAGTGAACTTTCCAGAAAGGTGAAGGGAAAACAACTTTTGGAGTCTAAGGAGAAAACAGACCATAGTCGAACAGTTAGCCAGCTTTTCCACTCCCAGCAGCCATAAGCCTTCTGCTCTTTGAGCCCAGGAGCCTCCATAGTAGGCTCATTCTCCCAGGACCGAATTTGAAGGAGCAGAAGAAAGAAGATTCAGCTGAGAGTTGAGTAACCAAAGCTAGATTCTCGTGTCCAGGACTTGAACTGAGAAGTCCTGGAGTCACCCAACATTCACTACTCATGATGCTGTAATGATGTCATAAATGGAGCTGGCCCCCAACACACCCCCAGCTTCCTCAGAACACAGCAGAGGAACCAGAGGGAAAGTCCACCTTCCCAAGCACAGCCCTACATCCACTTCACTCAACTGCTTGTCAGTTTCACTGCCAACAAAAAGGGGTGAGTTGCATCTGGACAACAGTGAAGGCTGCTCTTGTGCATCTTCTGTCCTAACAATGGCTGCATCAACCCCAGCACCGAGTAGGGCTAGGAGGGTTTTGTTCTGTGGAAGGTTCTTATTATTTTCAGTAGCAAAGACTAAAGTGAACATTACCCATTTTAGAGTTCCATTTGAAGAGCTGCATCCCTAGAGAGTCATACTGATTTTTAAATGACATTTCATAGTTTTACTTTTTATTATTAAATAAAATCAAAGGCATATCAACTAAAGCCAACTCTGAGTATTGTTAAAAAACAAAACAAACAAAAATAACCCTGTCCAAATCTAGAAGTCAGATTTTCCATAGAGAAAGTAAGACCTACATCAAGGCAAAATTCATCAGAAAAGGAATTCTCTTCTGGGAATCATATTTCATGCTTCTAACATTCATAACTTCAGAAATTAGATTTCCTACTTAATCTCTTCTGTCCTGATTTCTTCCCTTTCCCTGACTGTTTGGCAGAGCTGATAATTCCCTGAGGGCAAGGAGAGGGGGAAGCATTCCAGAATGGCCCATGGGACTGAGATTAGTCTCAATTGTCTTCCCTGCCATTGTCCAGCAGAGAAGAAAGCAATTTTCAAGACTGGGTGGCTCAGGAAAAAACTCACAGATGTACCTGCAGTTCTAAAGCCTACTTACAAACTATCTCCAGAGGGAAGAGAAGAGGCCTGTCAGGATTCTGCTGAACCACAGATGCTCTTAGCAATGTACTCAAAATTATTGACTCCTTGAAATAATGGCTTACATGGGTTATATTAAACACGTGGAGTCACAAAAAAAAAAAAAAAAAAAAAAAAAAAAAAAAAAAAAAAAA